AAAAAAAAAAAAAAAATACTGATAAAACAAAAGACTAAGGAAAAAAATAAGGTACAAAAATTGTATCAAATGGAAGTATGATCATTTTATACTAGATAGTTAAGCATATGAATAATAGTCACGAATTCATAATGTAAATGAATATTGATTAAACTGTAAACTATAATAGTTTAACTTATATTGGAAGAATGGAGGGGGAGGGGAAGTAGAGAAGAAGAAGTCTAAGAGTGCTAAATCCTTATCTCCCATGATACACAGTCAATATACAATATCTAAGGTTGATAATATCATTTAGAAACATGGACATAAACTTCAGAAGAAACAACTAAAAAGGTTGAAGGTAGCTATCTCTGGGTAGTGGTTAAAGTTTGGGGAGAGGAACTGCTTTTTTAAAATTATAAACCTTATGATACTATATACATACATATGTGTATATATACATATATACCTTATGGTATATATACATATAATTACCATGATGAAAAAATATTTTACAAATTATCTTAAATTAGGCCATAATGAACACCTCTATAAATCTGGCCATATTTTCTGACCAGAATGAAATAAGAGTAAAAACAAATTATATGTTTAAACCAACCAATCATATGTTTAAACAAACCATATCTCAACCCCTAGGAAATTACAACATAATTCTACAGTATAACAGGCCAAGAAAGAAAAGCTCAATTCAGAAAATAATATAAAAGAAAAATACTACCTCTCAAAACCTAGCCAAAGCAATTCTTGGTAGTAATCTCATAGTTCAAATGTACATTTTTTTAAAAAAAGGCATTTAACTTAAGATTTTAGAAAATGAACATCCCCTTCAAAAAAAAATTCATGGGTGAAAATAATAATGTAAAAGCCAAAAACATATTCATCTAGTAATTTTCTATGTGTTTTTCCTAATTTATATGCAGTCTGGATTTCTAGTAATTGTTTTTGGGGTGTCTGGTGGGTTATGTCTTTTTAGGCTTTAAGCACAGATAGTTTGAAAATATCAACTCGCCTGAACTTGTTGGACCAAGAGCTGTCTGAAAAGAGTGTGCAGCTCCAGGGCAGCACAGCTGAGGAGCAAATAAAGATTTCAGAACAAGTTGAAGCCCTCCAGAAAGAGAAGGATCAGCTCCAGAGACAAAGAAATAGTGTGGATGAAAAACTTAAAAATGGTAGAGTGTTATCACCTGAAGTAAGTCAGTATTCTTTGGAACTGGAAGTGCTGTATGATGGATCACTTGAGTGATTTCCTCAGTCTCTTTCACATAATCATAAAAATGATAAATCTGGTAAATTTGGTTTCCTTGACACTTTGTCAGATGTAGTGAGTTCACCTGGCACCTGTTTGGCACCATAAACCATACTTGACTAGAGAGACTGAGATGTCCTCTCATAGTGGTCCATGGACGTGGCCACTTCCTGGCACTGATAGGCATTAGGAAACTAATACTATACTTTGCTTGAGTATGGCCACCTTCTCAGCTGGAGTTTCTCATCTGAAATCACAGAACACAGAAAATGATTTCAGGGACTCTTTTCTCAATTCTTCCAAGGAGGACACCTAACTTTTCTTTATACATCCTTCTTAAGTGACAATAGGTAACTCATTACATACAATGGATACCTTTCCATGCTTGAGAAAGGCTCAATGTTTGGGAGCATATTCCACACTTTGTCCAGCCAAATAGATACACAAAATCCAAATCCCAGTAAAATACCTTTTAGTTATATAATAGTTTTCATTTAGGGGAACATATGGCTCCTCTCATATTTATTTTTTTTAAACTATGTAAAAGATGATTCATTTATTAGCTATTAAATTGCCCAAGACTTTGTCTTTTTTTAAAATTTTAATTCAGCCCGCAGTGGTACCTATACCTTACTTTATTAGACAAAGATGAACTAATGAGCCTGAAGTTTCTCTGTAAATATTTATTGTTGATGTCCTGTCATTATCAAAGCAAGGGAAAATTGCTAAGAGAAGGTGAGTGTCTGGGAATCACACATCTTGCTGAATCTTTTAGTGTTTTAGATTGGAGCAAGTGAGAGGAAATTAAGGGAGCTAGTTAAGAAACAGGAGAAAGGATAGCATGAAATTAGATTATTGCTCATTGAATTGGTGAAAGGAATTGAAAACTAACTTGATTAGGGGCTAAGTGGCAGCTGAAGAAGCATTTTAAGCCTCTGCTGCCCTGTTTTATAATTTAACTTGGGTGGCTGTGCAGAGGATTGCAGAATCAGGCTGTCTTCTCAAGGTGTTAAATTAGAGCCCCAAGCTTGTAGATTTGAAGGTGTAAGAGCCTAAGATACAGCAAAACTTAAGTATTTAAGGAATTTTGCCTGCCCAGGACTATTAGTAGGTCCTATGGAAGAAACAAAAAGAGTAGAAAATATTATGCTTCCCTTGAGAAATTCATACTCTTATCTGGGAAAAGAAAGAAATACAAGAAAACTCTAAACCCTGAGGAATATAAAAAAACAAGTTATGGATAATGTATTAAAGCTATACCTCTTACATTATTTATGCAAAGCAATGCCATGATTATTTGGGAGAAGATTCATCAAGGCAGCCTCAGGGGATTGGAATCTTGAGCTGGATTATGAAAAACATGATATGTTCTAGTAGATATAAGGAAGAAGGCCATTTAGATAAAACATCCTTAAATAAGGCACTTAGATGGGAATGAATAAACTCTCTGTGCATAAGAGTAGAGTTCTGTTATCAAGAAACATTTAGGTTTCTGTTTCATGTGGAATTCTGTAACTAAAAATATTATTTACAGACTTGTGGTGAAAGTATAGTACCATTTATAATACCTATTTAGCAGCCACTCTGGATTGGTTTGAAGGAATGCTGAGCTTTCTACAATTGGTGGGGTTCCATTTAGTCATCTCAGCTTCTATGCACCCTCCTTCCACATCTTTGGTTCTTCACCACTATTTTAAATCCAAGATTAATATTCCCAAATAGATCTGCCAATAGCAGATGATCAAGAACATGAGATTCTGATGTGACACAAGATATCAATAAAATCTAGGTGCAATGGTTTGCTCTCTTTAAACTTTCTTAGGATTATTTTCTCTTTCCACAGTAAATTAAAACATTTTTCCTGATTGTATTACTTTATGGGAAGTGATAGAAAGGTTTTAGATTACTATACTGATAGAGTGTTACCCAAAAATTTACTATAGACAAATCACCTTCTCTTTTTTCCATAAAATCCAGAAACTAAAATTAAAAAAATAAAAGAATACTTCAACTCTAGCTTTCTAGTAATACAGAGTAGTTGCTTAGTAAATGGGGTATAGGAAGAACGATTATGTTTATTTAATCTTTTGAACTTTCAATTCCACATTTTATGATTAAACCATTCATATAATTTATAGAAAAATACACACATATGAAGCGCTTGGTTGAAAGTTTTTGTTTATGTTTTGTTTTTTACTGATAGGAATGTGTGATCAAAAAAGTGTAGGGGCCACCAATGCTTTAGGTCCTTGCTACAGTGTGGTCTCTGGACCAGCAGCAACAGTATCACCTGGAAGCTTGTTAGAAATGCAGATCCTCAGGTCCTACCCAGACCTGCTGAATCAGAATCTGAATTTTAACAAGCTACTGGGTTCACATTAAAGTATGAAAAGCAGAGGTCTGTAAAAAAGCACAGTCAACTCTTGATAATTTGTGGTTTGTGTTGTAGCAAATTTTTCATCCCCGAACTGTCTCCCATTGCCATTTATCTTGTCAACCTACACCTACTGTTAGAGGGAACCACAAACATTTATATGCTACAGCCTCACTGGAGCGGCCTACCCTCAGTGTTCTGTAGTCA